GCCAAGACACTTCCAATTTTACGCGGGAGAAAACCCGAACAACCAAAGACCTACATATATATATATATATATATATATATATATATATATATATATATATATATATATATATATATATATATATATTTTCTGAGGTTTTCATGGGTGTTTGTATGTAGGTCTTTGGTTGTTGGGATTTTCTCCTGCATAAAATTGGAAGTGTCTTGGCGATGTTTCGACGAAGTCCCATTCGTCATCTTCAGGCTGGTGTTTTCAGCTCCTTGAAGCACGAAGCTGAAAACACCAGCCTGAAGATGACAAATGGGACTTCGTCAAAACGTTGCCAAGACACTTCCAATTTTACGCAGGAGAAAACCCGAACAACCAAAGACCTACATATATATATGTTTAACTAGCAAAAATGTAAGAACACCAGGAAATATAAAACTATAAAAAGTTTTAATAAGTTAAAATACCAAGCTTTCGCCGGCAACTGCCAGCATCGTCAGGTTAGCTTCCAGTATATGTATATAACCTTGAAAGGAATTACTTAGTTTGGTAGGGCAGAATTGGCAATTTAAGTCTTTAGTTGAGCTGAAGCAAGAAAATATTGTACACTCTTGGTTTCAGTATAATCAATTGTTAGTGAGGTGGAGTATAGATCAAAAGGTTGGTATTACTTTAGAGGATGTGAATTTGGTAAAATAGATCAAACTCGAGCCCATATAAAAATAATTTATAATGTTTTAATAGAATTGGACTCTGAAACGGAGTTAGTTAAAGATTGTATGGTAAAATGGGCTCAGAATATTCAAGAGCCGGTTCTATTGGATACATGGGAGATAATTTGGGTTAGAAATGTAAAATTTACTCAAGCTCAAAATTTAAGAGAAAACTTTTATAAAATGTTTTATAGGTGGCATTTGGATCCTCAAAAGCTGTCCTGCATGTATCCTAATTCACAGCCCAAATGTTGGAGATGTGGAAGCTTAGATGCAACCTATTTTCATATTTGGTGGACCTGTAAAGATATAAAAGCTTTTTGGATTAAGATTTGGTGGAATATTCAAAAGCTTTTTAAGAGAAAGATAAAGTTCACACCGCAATTATTTTTGTTGGGTGTTATTGTAGATTTTGATATTAAAGAAATTAATTTGATGTTGAATCTTATAACAGCTGCAAGATTACTGGTGGGGCAATGTTGGAAGAAAAATATTTTGCCTACTATGGAAGAATGGATATTTAAGGTGCCTAATTTAGCAGAAATGGCAAAAATCTCCGCTTATTTAAAGGACCATTCACAAGAAAAATATATTTCAGTTTGGAGAAGATGGATTGATTATATTCAAAAGAAATATGAGACTAAAAAGTATTGTCTTGCTTATGAGTAAATTTTAGATTATTATTAATAGTTTAATATGGTTGAATTTGTATTATTTTTAGTATTATGGTTTAATTATATTTTATTTTTGTTTTTAATTTGTTAATATTTATCTTGAAAAGCAGTTAAAATATGTTATGGATTGTTTGATAGTATAGTTGGGTAATGTTAGTTAGATTATGTTTGTTTATTTGCAACCCTGTCACCAGCTCTGGGAAGTGGGGGAGGGAGGGGAGGGGTGGGAGGGATTTGGGATATATTGTGTAAAATTTTTAAAAACTTTTAATAAAAAAAAGACTTATAACCTTGAGACATCAACTGTGAGAAGCCCAGCTGTGTTCTATACTCAGTGACAAAAATTTTTTTTTTGCATTCTCTGATTGTAAAGCTTTTAACCTAATACACTACTAAGAGAATACTGATGAAGATCAGGAACAGATTCTCTTCATGTTGAAAGAAATTCACCAAACTATTCTTACAGCTACTGATGAAATAAGAGGTTACAGAAAAGAACAAGATGTCAGCCCAGATATACGAACTCAAACTTTGATTACAACTAAAAAATCAACTACACAGAATATAGTGGAACAATTAAATATTATGACAGAGGATTCAACTGTTCAACAAATACAGTCAATGGAAAACCCAGAAAAGGAACTGACAATATGGAAAAGGGAAAAGACTTCCTACATAAATCAGAAGAAACGTGAGGATCAAGAAGAAAAACAGACTCAAGAGAAGATAAACAGTTCAAGACAACTATGTCGAGATGGAAAAATAGAGAGACAATTTGTTAGTCCTCTCAAAAAAATAGCAACCAGATGTTTTTTCTATGTTAAATAATATACATAACAACGGAGATTTATTTGATGACTCAAAAACACAGACATGGAACATGATTTGGCAAAGAAAGAAAGCTAGAATAAGACTGAACAAAATTGGAGTTTTGACTTATTAGTCAGAATTAAAATAGAATATACTCAAATAGATAAGATGTGTATTTTGAATACTAGATATTGTTATGAGTTGAGATAAAGAGAACTTTGGTCTTTTAAAACTTGGACGTATAAATATTAACAGTTAAATTTGAATACTGATTTGCTTATAAAGGTTAAATGTTAAGGTAAAAAATACACACACACACACACACGCACACATATATACACATATACAATATATATGATAAAAATTTATTGATGAATGTAATACATATGTTTTTACTTAGCAGTAATAATAAAAATTACTAGCTTAAAAATGAGATAGTAGATATTAAGAGAAAAAGAGAGGAAGTATTAAATGTTGAAATAAGAGAAATTTTGGTTGCTAAATTCAAGATATTTGGAAATTACCAGAAAATAAGAATATTATATTGTATTATTAATCAGTTGATGTAAGATGGTGAGAATTCAAACAGATAAGACATGTATCCTGAACATTAGATCTTGTGATGGATTGTGATAAAGAGAATTGGGATTATTTAAAACTTGGAAATTATAAATATTAAACGTTAAATTTAAATATTAATGGGAAACTAAAAATTGGGAAAAACTAACCAGAACATTGATTGTCTAAAAAGATTGAATGTTAAAATAACTAGGATATGTATAAACTAAAAATTATTGATAAATGTAAGAAAGTTATTTTTATTTAATTGATATATTAAGAATTGTATTAATTTAAATATGAGACAGTAAATACCAAGGTGAAAAGAGAGGAAATATTTAATGTAATAGTTTGTGATCTGTACTAAAGATATTTGTATGTTATTGAATTATTGACCAACTCAGCCGCCATGTTCCTTTTCAAATATTTAAATGAAAATCAATAACATTTTCTTAAAAAAATAGATATAATTTGTTCAATAAGGCACAAGTGACTGGGCTGGCAAATTGTACTAAGCCATATATCATAGCCACCAAATTACAATGAGTTGAATTCACATAACATATTAAGCCAAACCAAACAAATCACATTACACAAATCAGACAAAGAACTGGCTAACAGCACTTTGGAATGCACAGTGTCTCTCCTTGATGGTTTATTTATTTCTTATTTCCAATTTGATACGCCTAGTTTCAATTGACTCTGGGAGGCTGAGAGCATAAACAACAGAATAACACAAAATAACAAATATACAATTCAGATGAAAGCATAGCAATAAAGAGATGGCAGTTCCAGTCAACACAACATATCCAATATGTAATAAGAGGTACCAAACACCCGAGCTCAAAACCTAGGAGAAGACCCAGATTTTAAAAACCTGTAGAATGTCATCATGGTGGGAGCCATACATATATCAGGAAGAACCTCATTCCAGAGGACATACTGTATGACAAAGAAAGCAGGATTGTGGGGTCCCGACAGATGGCATTGCTTGATTAAAGGAATCTGGAGTGTGACAGTCCTGTTTGAATGAACCTTCCAGGCAAACACCACAGGATATGGGTGATTCCCTGAAGTAACCAAGTAATCGATCTCTATGTCACGTAGGGCTTTATAGAATAAATCAGCATCTTGAATTGCACTCAGAAGCAAACTGGCACCCAGTGCATGGTATGTGGGGAGACAGGGTGAAGGCATGCTGCCCAGGGAATGGTAACGTAAGAAATAACATAGCCTGCAGCTGGATAGCGGGTGGAGGAAGAGGCTCAGAAGGAATCATCTCTAGTTTCTTTGGCTGTAAAGGAGACAGCAAGAGAATTATAGTAATATCAACTTTATCAGGTAGAGGAGACAGGAAACACAACCAGATAAGTTCATTCTATCTATTGTTCAGTTACATTAATCAGATCTTGCAAATCTGCAAATACAATTCTTTCATCATCTCCTGAATGGATAGATGTGCCACCTCCATCCTGACGCTATCACAGATTATCCACAAGTACAACTAATGCTGTCTCTGTACTGAATTTCTGCTTGAACCTGGCCAGAATGGGTCTTAATAATCTGCTTCTTCCAGGGTTCTCATTAACTGCAGACTGACTATCTTCTCAACAATGTTCCCTGAAAAAAAGGAAAAATGGGAATAATTATCTAAAATGATTGGATCCAAGGATGGCCACCACCTTGCTCAAAGAGACCAATAGGTTATCTTCCTGGCTACTTTCAAGAGGGAATCTGGTCCAGATGAGCAGAGAATCTTGTCTACTTCCTCAAGAGTCATTGGTTCAAACTTCCATCTCAGAACAGACCACAAATCAGGTTCTAGCCATCTTGGAAAGATTTGCCTAGCCAGAGTTCAAATCAGAGCATATCTGAGCAACTTTATTCACCAATAGCCTGAATATTTTCCACTGGTTTGATAGGAATAGCAGTTCCACTGACTCAGACATTTTGTTTTCACAAATTTTCCTAATCATAGTTTACTTAGCCATAACAAATAATTCTGGGTGATAAAGTTTGAGATCATATTTCACACTAAGACTATTATATTAACCAATAATATAATTTGCTACAAGAAATATTATTGGCTGATTATGCACCATCACGTTGTTGTCTACTCTTATCTACATCATAGATAAATATTTCAAATTAATATTCTTTTTTTAACCTAACATTACAAAATAAATCTTCAAAACACAAAGTTTAGGTACACTGCCCTACAACTTCTCATCTGCCATAAGAGTGCAATAATACCAACCTGAAATTGTGCATAAACTGCTGAAATTTGCTGGCCCTTTTTGCCAGTGGCACTATGATATTAATAAGAGTGTGGGCCATATTGAGGTTTTCATTTGCGACATTCATGATGGGACCAAATGGTCTGAAAAGAACAATGCGCTTGAATTCATATTTTTTGCTTCCTTTGAATATCAACTCATATAGAGTGCCTTTATCTCTTTCAGTACGGCGAATGCCTATTAGAAAAGAGAAGGCAATTATTAGCTAGAATTTCTAAAGAAGTAATATATATATATATATATATATATATATATATATATATATATATATATATATATATATATATATATATATAATCCCCCTGACTTTATTTCTTTAATTTTAGCAGTAGGCATTTATAATATATTATCTTATGAATTCCTTATTGGAAATCATGTATTACTACAAATTATCTACTGCTCTCAGTGGCTTATTAAAACATGTAACACTAGCAAAAAATTATGAACAGTCTTTTGAGGATGGAAATACATGCAGCAACCTTATCTTCATTTAAGACATCTCCACCCATAATTTTTTCATTCATTCTTAAGTGACTTCCCAAAAAACACACCTTCTATGAAGTCAGAGATGGAGTATATTCGATGATTTATATTACTGTTACTCTTTGGCCTATTTAAAATCTCCAGCCCTGACTCAATAGCTTCTGCCAAGTCATCCCTCTTGTCCTTGCGCACAGGCGTTTCCTCAGGATGACGTAAAAGTCCCATCTCCAGCTGATAAACTTTTTGTTGAGTGAAGCTCTCAAAGGGCAATGCAGCATATTCAGTTGGTAGCTTGATGCCAGTAAGTATTTCTGCTTTGTCAATTTGGGAATGGAGGAACTGCAGCAGGGTTTTCTGGGATTTCTCAGAGTTTCCTAGGTCTAATCTAACCTCCTGTGCATCAGTATCTTGACCTTGCATGTTCTTCAGTGGTTCGCTCCTTTCCTGAAGCTTATCTTTCAGCTCAGCAATTTGTTTTTTCAGGCTGTTAATATGGTCCCAATAATATTCTTCTCCTTTTTGTAGGATTGCCTGATATTCCTCTTTTCCTGTTGGGCTGTTAACTCTGAAGAATGCAGGTTGCTGATGGGTACCTCTTGGTGTGCAGGTCAACATGTAGAACACAGATGCTGCACAGCAGAAGAACACAAGTATAACTACTATTCGAGAGAGCCATGCTATTATGCCACGACGAGCCATCATCTGCCAAGCAGCTGGTGATACCCACATTCCTGTAACAAACTAAAATTTCCTGCAATCTTTTTAGAACTCAGTTCAGAAGTTATATACATTGATATGTTTTTGAGTGATTGATTTCAATATAACCTGCATACAATATCTGATAACTGGACAATGTTGCAAGGTTATTTAACAGCAGTACTAAAAGCTTCATTGAAAGACCAATGTTGGCATTTGAAGGATATCTGTTGATTCTGGATAAAAATGGATAGTTGCCCACAGCAGAGAGAGAGAATGATCTGGAAGCCAAAGCAAAGACATATTGGATTAATTCCTGTGTGAAGAAACTTCATCTTCAGAAGAAGTAATCATTAAATGGTGTGATTGATTCACATCTGTTTGGCTACAATATACAGATCTGACAACCAAGAGATTCTTATTTACCTAGATCAGTGATGGCGAACCTTTTAGAGACTGAGTGCCCAAACTGCAACACAAAACCCACTTACGCATCGTCGAGTACCAGGTGGGTGTGGCCCATTGGCTGGGTATGGCTGCGGTGATAACGGCAGACTGGGTGGGACTAAAAAGTTCAATCAATCAATTCCAACTTTGCAAGATCGTTTTTTCCCCCGCGAGAATTGAAATTGACTGATTGAACCTTTTTTTTTTTTTGCACATGGCAGCGGAGGCCTAAAGCGAAAAGATTTTATAAAACCCAGCTGAAGGTCTAGGACTGAGGTGACGGCGCACGTGCCCACAGAGAGGGCTCTGAGTGCCGCCTCTGGCACCCATGCCATAGGTTTGCCACCACTGACCTAGATTTTAAGATAGCTGGCTTCATGTCTAAGGGACTACTGGAGGAATTCGTTGTCTCCTGGTTTCTAGCCTGATATTTTGAGTACAAGAACAAACTGGCTGTCCAGTTTACAATTAATAATTATAACAATGAGGATATCATTTCCTTCTTTAAATAAAACCCATTGATGTACCTATAAAAGAACAATTAGTTTCTGTGTTTACTTAATTTTTTTTTATTTTCCTCTCCTTTCAGGCTCTTATATTTTTTAAGTATCTTTTAAATAAAACTCTTGCACATAGTTCCATGACATGACAGTTGTGCTAAACCTGATTCCCCACTTTTTTATTTGTTATTGATCTTTGAAAAATAATGAAAACCATTGTTTAAACACTAGAAATCATGCCTTGAATAATAAGTATTCTGAATTCAGCCTCTGACATCTCTATTTAAAAGGACCTGGTAGTAGACATTTGGAAGGCTTGTGCCAGTCAAAACAGAAGAAAGTGCTCTAATTCAGCTGAAGTTACCTTCATTTGCTAACCTCTCCAATTTTTCAGACCTTTGCATGCTAATTATAGTATTTTGTAATGAATAGTGTGACTTTTTATCTGTTTTAGCAACAATCTATGATTTATATTTTCTAGGATATTTGGAACATCATTTAATATTATGAGAAGTATATATTTTATGTAGTTTTTGTTCAAGAATGTGGCATCTGTTTTATTAACAAATCTTTTTGCATTTTTTTATAAGATACTAATCTTGTAATGCTTATATTATAAATTATTATAAAATATCTTTATGTATAAGATATAATCAAAAATATCCTTAAAATATGACTGAATAATTTTCTATGTTTTGTAAGGGTAGAGCAAAAACAGAGGAGAAAAACAAGAAAGGTAAAATAATTCAGTGTTGGCCTCAGAAGATATAGTATTTTGTAATGAATTGTGTGACCTTTTATCTGTTTTAGCAATAATCTATATTTTATAATTTATATTTTCTAGGATATTTGGAACATCATTCAGTATTATGAGAAGTATATTATTTTATGTAATTTTTGTTCAAGAACGTGGCATCTGTTTCAATGCCTTGAATAAATCCTATAGTCAAAACACAATGGATATTTCTTATAAAATGAAATACTATTTCTTTGCAACAGTTTGAAATCCACCTTTCTTTCCTCCATCCTGTATGAGTGCCAATAGTATGATAACTTTTCATGCTTTATATATCAACCAAATGCCCATACTTTTAGTCTCTCTAGAGCAGATATGTTAAACTCAAGGCCCACGGGTCACATCCGGCCCGCAATATGGATAGCTGTGACCCGAGGGGCTGCCTTGAGACATGACCCGAGGGGCTGCCTTGAGACAGTGAGGGACTGGCCCCCGTTGCCTCAAACCCGGCCCAGGCCAACCAGGCACCAATCTATAACTTTGGAGCGGTGATCCAAAACATGGTCAGTTTTAGATCTGTAGGGCCACCCTGGAGACAGCGAGTGGCAGCTCCTGCTGCCTCAGCCCCACCCCCGGGCTGCGTACAGAATGCAGTGAGCTGCGGGTCCTGGTATCCTGGGTGAAAGGGAAGTGATCACAGGCTGTGAGGCTGGGCCAGGGAGCAAGTCATGGAGATGCTGGTGGTGGGCATGGTGTCAATTTACAACTTTGAGGCAGCCATCTGAAATGCAGTCAGTCTTAGATCCGCGGGGCTGCACCTGCCGCCTTGGCATCACCCCTGGTGTATGCGCAGGTGGTGAGCTGTGGGGCCTGGCATCTCGATGAAAGGGAAGTGCTCAGAACACAGCCCCAAAGTTGTAGATTGGCACCTCGCCTGCCACTGCACCAGTGCCTCCATGGTTCGCTTGCCGGCACTTCTCTTTCACCGGGACCACCCCCACCCCTGCATGGGAAATCCACAGCCTTCAGCAGCATGGCCACCAGCACCTCTGCCAACGTCTCCCCCTCCCCTCGTCCCTTCCTGACTCAGCCTTCCATCCTTCCGAGATAGGTAAAATGAGGACCCAGATTGTTGGGGGCAATGTAAATATATATATATATATATATATATATATATATATATATATATATATATATATATATATATACACATTGCTTACTGGTGTACACTGCTTAGAGAGTGCTTGCACTTAAAGCGGTATATAAGTCTCATAAAATAAAATAAATAAAATAAATGGAGAAAGGGAAGGAGGAAGGAAGGAGATAGGAATGTGAAGGAGGGAGGGAAACAGGAAGGAAGGAAAGAAGGAAGGAAGGAAGGAAGGAAGGAAGGAAGGAAGGAAGGAGATGGGAATGAGAAGCAGGGGGGCAAGGAAGGAGGGAGGGAAAAGGAAGGGAAGGAGATGGGAATGAGGTGGGGAGGGTCTGAGGGAAGTCCTTCCTTAGCACTTGGCCACCAGCAATTCTGCTGCCTTTTTGCCATCCCCTTGCCCCATCCTCCTGACCTCTCCTGGTGGTCTCCCAACCTATTCCTGAGCATACTTTGATTACAAAGCCAGGTCTCCTTGCATGGAAAGGGAGTAGGCCTCCCTCTGACCCGCACACTTTGCCTTCCTGAGGAATCTGGCCAAGGAGATTGAGCAGAGCAGCACAGCAGCAGCCTCAAGGAGATAAGAGCAGCTGGGCACCATCTTGGGGGGCTGGGCATGGGGTCCAGTGCTTTGGAGTTTGAGGGTTGGGCTGTGTGCTTACCCTTCACTGCCCAGGGCTTCGGGCAGTCCGCACCACAGTCCAGGGCCCCCCGTGGCCCGAGAGGGATGGCAAGGTCCACGCCCCAGCAAATGTCCCAGTCCCATCCCCCTCTGACGGAGACCCCTGGATCTCACCCACACCCCTGCCCAGCCCCTCAATCACCCCCCGCTATGTGAGTGATGTTGAGCCAGCCACGCCCACATGGCCACGCCCACCCAGTCAGCCACACCCACCTGCCCCGAGGGTAACCACAATGCTGATACGGCCTCAATGAAATTGAGTTTGACATTCCTGCCCTAGAGTGCAATAGCTGTGGTGGGTATCTACTTATTGAATAAGGTCAACATAATCTATGAAATACATCTGCATCTACATACTTCAATATGCTTGTTAATTGCTCCTTTGGTAGACTACTGGGGCCTCAATAAATTCATGTGTGTGGCGGGTGTTGGCATGCCCAATGATTTTTGTTCATTCCCAATCAAATTAGTGTTATTTATTATCAATGTGGTTTGAGATCAGGGATTTTTTGGTCATGCCATTTAACTTCCCCCGCCTGCCCACGCCACTGTCTTCCTCATCTGAAGGCGTGTTCCGCCGGCACTTAAAATAAGACCTGGTCTTATTTTTGGGGTAACACTACGATAGTGGTGTTTCCCATTTGGTTTATCTGACATCAATCTTGCAAGTCTGAAGATACAAATCCTGTTACCACTTTTAACCGTTTGAACCAGTTAGGGCAGATCCTTCTCAATGGGGCTTCCTTGATTGTTTCCAGTAGCATCTTTTCCCCTTTCTTACCAAGGTGATGCACACATTTCATCACATCATCTTTACATTCTGACTACAGACAAGAGCATTCCCCTTGGCCCTTATATAATATTTTTACCTTTAATTATTAAGAGTTAAAAACTAACTTTGTTCATATGGCATGGAAAACAGTAAAATTCAATGGAAACATTCTTCTCTTAGACCAAGGGTATCAAACTCAATTTCATTGAGGGCCACATCAGCATTGTGGTTTCTCTCAGGGGGCCGGGTGGGTGTGGCCAGGGTGGGTGCAGCCTACTGGGTGGGTGTGGATGTGGCCCACTGGGTGGGCGTGGCCAGCTCAACATCGTTCGCTTCAAGGGTGCCTGTGGGGGCCTGGGCAGGAGTGGGACAGATCTAAGGGTCTCTGACAGAAGGGACCAGGGCAAGCACCAAGGCATGGTCCACTGGAGGAGCTTCACTGTTCCTCTCAGGCCCTGCGGGGGGGGGGCTGGATGGTGGTGTGAGCTGCCCGGAGCCCTGGACAGCAGAAGTCAAACACCCAGCCTGGCCCTCGAGCACCCGCAGCACCAAGCCCAATCCCACTTCTCCAAGGGGGCGCCCAGCTGCACTTACCTCAAGGCTGCTGCTGCTGTGCTTGCTCTCCTTAGCCAGGTTGCTCATGACGGGTACGAGGGCAAAATCAGACGGAGGCCCATTCCCTTTCCATGGGAGGAGACCCGGCTTTGTATCCAAAGCTTCCTTAGCAATAGGATGGAAGACCCCCCAGGGTAGGCCAGGAGGAGGGGGCAAGGGGATGGTGAAAGGGCAGCAGGGGAGGACTAAGACAGGATTTCCTTCAGACCCTCCCTCTCCTTCTTTCCTTCCTTCCTAAGTACAGAGTGGTGGGAAAATATTTGAGATGAGGGGGGAGAAAAACAGGCAAGAAACGCAGTTGGAGAGGTGTCACCCTTTGTGAGGAATGAAGAAATGCCAGCACATAGCCCTCACCTACTTCACATATCTGGCTTGGTAG